GGCTCCTGGAACTTAAGAACATGAGCTATGATGAGAGGCTGAAGGCATTAAATACATGAAGACTAGAAGATAGGAGGAGAAGAAGTGACATGATCACTACTTACAAAATACCCAGTAGTAATATGAATTTATTAAACCGACGAGATATTTTTAAAACCTGAAACTACAAAAACATTGTCACAGATTCAAACTTAAGGAAACAAAGATGCCAAAGAGATATGAGTTCTCTTTTGCAAACAAGCAAACACTAGTAACAAATGGTAACACTGACAGAAAAAAAACTGACACCAGTACTGTGATAGTGGCAGAAAAAGTGAGTGACAATAAAAGAGACAAAGACAGACACATGGGGAAAGAAGTGGAAGTCAAGAGGTCATGACCTCTTTGGGTAACTACATTTTCTTTCTAAAGCCTAGGCCATGGAGGTTCATTGGTCCTGAACCAATTGGTTTATTTTCGTTTTGTTCTTCTGGGCTGTGGTTGTGGCTGGGCTGTTCCCTGATCATCCAGGGCAGCCTGGATGTTTTGGCCTCATTGCTAGGCATCATAGCCTTCTTATCTGCAGTTCATCTTTTGTGACTTTGCCCAAGTTTCTTGCTCCTCTTCTTTGGGCAGCAGTATCACTCTTTTCCTGGTTTGTCTTGCATTTTAGCTGCAAAAGGTCAACTCTTTCTGGGTTGGACCGGTGCCCTCCTTGCCTCTTCTCTTGGATGACCCCATTGTTTCTGGTCTGTCTCATCCTCAGGTCGAGCTCTTGTTGCTTTCCTGGACCTCATAGACGTGTTCTATCATGCTACATTATATTCGAGATTTGGGAGTTGATTATCTTTGTCATGGGACGATAGGTTTCCATTTCTGGGTCGGCCTCTGGCTCCTCGTGTTTATTTGCACTTGGCTCAGATTTTCATGGCCCGATTTTGTTTTCTTGGTGTTGGGTCCTGGGCTACCTCGACATCTGGCTGATATGGGCTCCCAGCCATGGATAGGTAGCTTCAGGAAGCCACGAGGGGCTCGCCAGTGTTTAATGTAATAGAACGGAAATATCTAGGTGAGTCCCCGATGGCTCCCTGACACCCTCCCTTCCCCATGAAGTCCGGAGTGGTTTTCCCATCATCATAGAACTGAGGGTGAAGCAGCCAGTTAACCAAGTCTGCCTCCCTCCTTCCCCTAAATGAGAGGGGAGGTGGGGAGAATAAGCTGGTGTTAGTTTTCTGAATTTTTTATTCTTAGTTTACATTTTGGGGGGAATTCTTTTAGTAGTTTTGAAGCATTAATAATTGTTATAACCAGCAGTGGTAGGTTTTGTTTCACTGACTTTCTGGGTGCTTCTCCAGTGGTGGGAGACTTTATTAAATTTCACTAACAATTTTATCATAGTACCACTGCCTCCTGCACCCTCATTAAAGAGGGCCAGGTTCTGGCTGATGGTTCTCAGTAGGCCTAAAAGAACTCTGGGACTGATGGCACCTAGTAGTTTAGCACTGTAACTTCAGCGAGCTACTGGGGCTCACCCAGAAATTGTCATTTCATTACATTCAACGCTGGTTATTGATAGTGTCTCACCTGCAGTTCTCTTCTTGGCAACAGTATGAAGTTTCTTGGCACTCTTTCCACCACTTCCTTTCTCTTCATTGTTGCTCTTTAGTTTCTGTGCTTGTGGTTCTTTTCTTTCTTGGTTATTTTTTTATCAGCATCTCATGCCAAATGCTGTTGACTATCTTGTGGCACTGGTGGAGCTGCTGTTGCTTACATTATGCATTAATACATCCTCAGTGCTGTTTCATAAGCTTCCTCACACATTTTTTCACTTCTGGCCTGCTCGTGTGCCACTTCTTCTCGATTTACAGTGTCCCCTTCATTCCACGATTCTTTTTCTAATGCTCTGTCAGTTGAATTTTGTTGCCTGCAGCTGGCTCCATCTTTTATAGTAAAGAAAAGTTGGCCGGCTTCTGGAGCCAGTCATCTCAAAATTTTACCTACTCCAGAGGGGTCCTTTGGTTATTGATGCTTTGTTGGTTTAGCTGGGGGTGCATCATGTGCTGCATCTAGTAAAGACTGTCTGCCACTACCTTTGTGCCACCGGTTCAGTCTGCTTTGTGGGTCAATCTTGTTTCCTTGTTTTCCTGTTCTAAGGCTCGTGTTTCTGAGGTTGCCCGCAGTGACCACAGGCAACAGCGAGCCTGCTGTCTGCCCTTGTGCCCTTGATATTAGGAAATCTGTTCTCTGCACCTCTAATAGGGCCATGTTCTAGCACTGGTTCAAAGAAGGCCAAACTCATTTCCCACAGCTGATGCAATCAACCAGTAATTAATAACTGAAATCCAGTAGTTCCGGGCCATCTCGGCGAGATAGCTTCAGGGAGCCACCAGTGCTCACCCAGATTTTGGCATTTCATTATGTTCACCATTGGATTCTTTACGCCTCATGAGAAATATAATGTTTTTAAACTGTTAGCATGATAATTATTACCGAATTCAAATAATTTAATTACTGTACTGTACAAATAATTGAAAATAATTACTATGCAGAAGTTCACATCTTCTGCAGAAACAAACTGATTTGGATAAATAATAAAATTGGGTTATCCTAGATTGGTGCTCTAACATGATGACATTACCTCGTTCTCAGAGCTAGGGAATAACAATCCATCAATGTTATTTGTTCATAACAATCCATCAAGATGGAAAATGCACTTCAATAATGAAATCTTTGTTGACCAAAGGTGAAATCTTTGTAAAATGTACTGATGAACAGCATTGTAAAATTATACCGATCCAATAATGATTTTGCAAATGCACTTCATATATTCAGTTTGAAGAGTTAGACTTACATTTAAAGTCAAGTACATAAGATAAAAACATTAAAGGCATACATTTTAGAGATAATGTACTGATATTAATTAAATTTTAACCTAAAGTATGCATGGTCACATACAGTAGAGTGAATAAACACTGTCTAGTCAGTATTCATCCCTGTCATTCTGCTGACGTAAGGTGCACGGTCTTGCACAACTGTGTGTGTGTGTGTGTGTGTGTGTGTGCACTAGTGGCTTTGTCAGAATATACCACTTGCACAATGAATTTTACTAAAATAACCAGTTGTACATTCTTGTAAATATTTGTATAAATAAATGCATATCTAGTTCACATTTATATTTACAACTGTCATAATCATTGTACAGAGATTAACCTCTATTATGATGTATTCAAACCATAAATATTTGAAATCATGTTTGTAACATCTACATTGCTAATTAGTGACCATAGCACTTTGCAATAACAATTACCTAATGCCAGTATTATTGACTTATCAGATAGAGTAATTACAAGTTTTATTTTTATATTTTCTCTGCTGCTAGCAACATGGCAACATATTCAACATCATGTAACCTTAAATTATGTTCTTCTCAGAATTGTGTATATATATTTATAACCAAAATCGTGACCTGTGATAGGAAAGTTCCTTGAAAGGGGGCTAATGGTTGTACCAGAATGAGTGAGATGCTTATGAGGATTATTAAACAGTATTGTTCCACTGTTTCAGCATAAAGGTGTGGACATTAAACTAGACAATAATTAATGTGAATGCTAGGATGAGTCCTCTAGTGTATGTTTAGAGAATTTCATTCTTTCATAACTTAACTTCATAACATAGTTCATTATTTTGAAAAGTTCATAATTTGCACCAAACTAGATAGACCATTGACAACTTAATAATATGAATTGATATCAGATGGCTAAGTTCACTCATAATAACATTAGATCTAAATCAATTCTCATTTTGGTTTCAGATAAATTAGCATATTTTTTATTTATATAGATAATGTACTATGGTACCTATTTGTTTTTAGGGTTTTCTACAGGAATCTCTTAGCACAATAAATTAATTTTAATTTAAAATTAGGCAAATATAATTCATGTATTAATTGTCACTAAATACATTTGCTAGATTTTAAAGTTAAGTTATGCTCAGCTTCATATTTCACACATTTGTATCATGTTCAACATCACATCTTTGAGAGGTGCAAGAAAACCTAAATCACCAGCTTGACCAAAAACATTTGCTTTAGTGCTGCCACTGGCAACCTACCCTGTTCCCGCCAAACACACACGAAACTACGACGTTGGTACAACGTTCGAACAGGTTTTAACACCACCTAACCAGTTATAACAACCAATATAGCAAGTTGTAACAACGTTCTAATACATCATAAACCCGTTAAGCCAAGATGTAAGAACCTTATTACAAGTTGCAACAAGCGGAAAATAGAGACAGTCACGGTTTGTGTTTCCAGGGTTAGCTCTTAACTATCAGATCGAGGTAAACAGTAAATAGAAAACTAAAGACACTGTCTTGTTATATACTAGTGTCTGGGGGAGAAATCTTCAGTATTAGTTCCTGTCACAGCACCTTCAAATAATTGAATCTGAGCTGGAATCCTACTGGAATGTTGAAAGGCATAACTGATACTAATGTGAAATATAGCTATAAAATTACTTTTAAATGAAGCAGTATGAGAATTCTTAGACTTTTTTCATTCATTTGTGTTTGAAGTTAATGCATACAGCAGTTATTTATGAATGATTCTTGAAATACTCTTATGTAAATATATGTTCAGACAAAAAACTAATTTATATAATGCAACAGGTATAGTTGAATCACTAATGTAATCTTTTTTATTAATCAAGGCACTTGAGTACCTAAAATTTTCTTCTTGCTGAATTGCTTTGTATTTAAACATGTATAAGAATTTTAGTGCACCATGTCAAAGACTGGAATAATGTGACTCGTTGAGATCCCTTTAGCTAATGGCAAAGTTGTGTTCATCCTCTCGCCCATACAGTTATTAACTAGACCAGGTAAGGATTAATCTGACTGATTATAATATATATATATATATATATATATTATATATATATATATATATATATATATATATATATACAGTATATATTTTAATATATATATATATATATATATATATATATATATATATATATATATATATATATATATATAAAATAGAACTTGAAAATTGCTTTAATACTTTCATGAATATTTGATCACATTTTCATTACATGCTATTTTATGTGTGGCTTGTACACACACGCTTAAATATTTGTATACACAGAATTGTATATGTGTGTGTGTGTGCAAATAATAAACAACATTCCAGTTATTTTTTTCAATCTTTTGCTGGAATGAAGCCTTCACCATTATTGAGTATAGTTGATCACAGAATAGTGACCCAGACCATTTTTGGAGTGCCTGTTGCCTATTTTTGACTTATTGTGATTAATTTTTCATTTTGTGTGTGCATGTGTAATTACTGCGCTGGCAATGAGTGAAATTTAATCATACTTGACCTGTTTTAACACATTTTATGATACATGAAAATATGATACTATTTTTCTAAATGCAAACAGCTTCTTGTGCAATTTGATGATTTTTTGGGGGAAGTGCAAAATAAATTACTTTTTAGTCAAAATAATGGCATAAGATTATTTATTTTAATTTATCATTGTATCAATTATTTTTGTATTATTATTGTTAGTTATGTTTATGCAATCATTAAGTGCTTTAATACAAAATAATTTTTTAGTGGATTCAAATTACAATACAGGGTTGGACAAAATATTTTCTATTTGTACTTATTTTATTGTATATATTTAAAGCTTTCACACTGTATTATGTTTTGGAAAGTTCATGTAATTGTAGTACTCCATATGTTTATGATATTTTAGTACAGTAGTTATGTTTGCTCAATATATCAACCATGATGTACAATATAGTAAAATGTCCATTATAAAATTACTTCTTTATTTGCCATACACTATAATAAGAGTCCTTCAAGAATAAAATAAATGTATTTGTGTATATAATCAGTGCAGCACTTATAAAATCAAAGGATAAAAAGCCACCATTGAATGTAATGAAAAGCCTCTTGTTGGGTGAACCTTGGTGGCTCCCTGAAGCTATCTCACTGAGATGGCTTTCAACTACTAGATCACAGTAGCCATTGAGTTTTGTTGGCCTTCTGGGGACCAATGCCAGAAACTAGCCCCCTCTTTGAGGCACAAGGAGTGACACTCTGCTATACCACTGGAAAAGCATCCAGAAAGTCAGTACACCAATACAAACCAGACCACTACTGGCTTCATTGCAGCCAAAATCTAAAAACTGCCAAATGAACTCTCCGAACAATGCAAATAATCGGATCTCTTAAAAGAAGCATGTCTTTGCTCTCATTTATCGCACCACTAGTTAGGGAAGGGGGGAAGAACTTTGTTCATGTGGTCCATTGGCCAATGCCATCAGTTCTGGAACAGATGCACAAAAAAATCTCCCAAACTGATGACCTGGAAGGAAAGACGAGAATCATGAGCCACTGGGGCGTGCCCAGAAAGAGGCATTATATTATTTTCAGTTCTAATTCTCTGGGGAAAGACCCATGTAGCTCTTTGAGGCTAACTACATATGAAGAAAAAAGAAATGGACTTACCAGGGAGGAGGAGCATTTTAGCAAAAATCTTCACAAGAGCATCATATTTCAGAACATCATGGGTACAAGGGTAAACTGCAGGCTGGTTAGACCTGATGAGACTATGGACAACCTCTGACACACAAGCTTTGGAACAGGGAACCAACAAAACTGGATCAACCCACAAAGTATCAACTGAGACAGAATCAGAACCCTGAAGGTGGTAGTGGCAGTGCAGTGTGTGATGCTGTTGCTCTGCCATTGTCAGTGTAGTGTGTGATGCTGTTGCTCTGCCATTGTCAGTGTAGTGTGTGATGCTGTTGCTCTGCCATTGTCAGTGTAGTGTGTGATGCTGTTGCTCTTCCATTGTCAGTGCAGTGTGTGATGCTGTTGCTCTGCCATTGTCAGTGCAGTGTGTGATGCTGTTGCTCTGCCATTGTCAGTGCAGTGTGTGATGCTGTTGCTCTGCCATTGTCAGTGTAGTGTGTGATGCTGTTGCTCTTCCATTGTCAGTGCAGTGTGTGATGCTGTTGCTCTGCCATTGTCAGTGCAGTGTGTGATGCTATTGCTCTGCCTCTGCAGAGACACAGTATGCATGTCTAACAGCCGCAGATAACTGCACAGACCACAATACTGTACTGATATTTTAGTTGGAGTTACACTTTTAATTAGGTTTACATTTTTAGCAAAGGTCAGCTTCTCTTTGCCATGTGGAAATATTCCAGGGGTGAGTAGCCAAACAGCTGGAAGTCTGGTTCATACAGGTCGGCGAGCGCCCGCAGGAGATTCAGTGGAACCTGTCTGAAGTAGAACTGTGCAGCCTCGCTCGTCCCGTTGTACATGTCAAATCTGGAATAGTGCAGATGATAAATACAATGAGTTAAATTCTGTGTAAGTAATTCATTATAAAATACAAGTAAAAAACAAAATATAGCTAAGTTCTTTCTCATTCAAGCAAATTGTGAAATGTCTACACTGTACTGTATTAGGATGATACTGTAATATATTAGATTATTTGAGATTTATCACAAAAAACAGCTAATTTTAAACAAACTTGCATTTTTCTAGTAACATAAAAATCTACAAATCAAAGATGAGACATTGTGTGAGTGAACACACACAGCATGGCTGAATTAATGCTGCTTACTTGGAGGCATGAGTGTGGGCATTGAGGAGGAGGTGCTGAAGGCCCAGCTCCCGGATTATATACTCGTGGTCATCCCCAAGTGTCTCCACTTGGGCAATAACATTGTAGTCCAGCTGGCAGGGCGAACACGTCACCCAGTAGGGACGCCAGTGTAGGTTTACCGGCCACCAGCCCTTCTTCCTAGGGGCAAGGGTACAGTGAGCCATGTGTGGGGGGTGGGGAAGAGTGAGCAGAAATATAGTGAATCCTGGAAGTACAGTGAAGGGTAGAAGTTCAGTTAGGCAGGTGGGAGAACACTGATGAATAAGCCGAAGGCAATTAGAGCCTTGTGTGAGAATTTGGGGATAAAATTTACCTAATTTACCTAACATTATTGGCCACGAGGACATGAAGCTGGCGCCTTGTCGAGGGTCCCCATATTTGACGATCTTCTCCAGGTGGATTTTAAACCCTAACAGAGTTTTGGCATTTGTGCTTTTGGTGGGTAGGTGGTTCCATGGGTTTATAACCCTATGGGTGAAAAGCATCTCCTGTTTTCAATCCTACAGTGAGGTTTGTTGAGCTTGAAACCATTGCTCTTTAATCACATTTGAAGGGTTGGATGTTCAGTGAGGCACAAATAAGTGGATACAGTGAATACAGTAAGCAGTTTACGAAAGGAGGAGTGTAATTTATTTGAGAGGTAATATACGTGTGAAGAGTAGGTATGCTAGAGATGCTATAACGATGATGATACTTTTCAAGATGCTAGTGCTCTATAGAGTGGAATACTGTTGCACAATGACAGCCCCTTTCAAAGCTGGAGAAATTGGTGACCTTGAGAGTATGCAGAGATCCCTTATTGCTAGAATCCACTTAGTAAAACATCTAAAATATTGGGACTGACAAAAATGCCTAAATCTGTATTCTCTTGAGCGCAGGTGGGAGAGATACATAATAATTTACACGTGGAAAATATTAAGAGGGGCTGGTCCCAAACCTGCACACAAAAATAACACCACATGAGACCAGAAGGCATGGCAGGATGTGCAGAATACCCCTGTAGAAAAGCAGATGTGCAATAGGTATTCTAAGAGAGAACTATTAACATCAAAGGCCTGACACTGTTCAACATGCTTCCACTACACATAGGGGCATAACTGGTCGACCCCTCAAAGTGTTCAAGAGAGAACTCGATAAGCACCTCCAAAGGATACCTGATCAACCAGGTTGTGATTCATACATCAGGCTGTGAGCAGCCGCATTCAACAGCTTGGATGACCAGTACAAGTATGGTGCAAGAAACCAGGAGGCCTGATATAAGGAACCAGGGACTGGGCCACAGGGACGTTGAGTCCCGAAATCATCGCAAGGTAACCACAAGGCAAGATATGCACTAATGCTCACGTATACCTGAATGACTGAAATACAGTATATGTATAGTGGATTATTTGGGAGTCATACTTCTGGGGCCAGACTTTGATGAAAATGACTTGGTTGGTAAGTCAAAGTTGTTTCTGACAGCACTGCCTGTGAGAACCTGTCTGTTTTGTTCTTGAAAACTTAAACATTTATTTTAACTGGAAAAAGGTTGAAAAGCCATGGGGCTTTGATTTTCATACAATTCTGATTGTGCCAATAGTGCCTACATTTTCTGATATATTCCCCCATTCCAGTAACTTATTTTATTGTGAACATTTGGGATCTATTAAATTCATGTACTGTACACATTGTGATATATCTCTCATCTCCTTTCCAGAAAATATATTTTTGAGTGTTTTGAGGTGGTCCCAGTAATGTGCTTTACTGCATCTGTGCATGCTCTAAGTCTCTCTATATAGGCTATACCCTATGATGGCCAAACAACACAGCAGAAGTTGGAGAAACGACGACATTTCAATCCGTCCTGGACCATTATCAAGTCGTATTTTACGACTTGATAATGGTCCAGGACGGACCGAAACACCATTGTTTCTCCATGTTCTATTGTGTGGTTTGGTCATCATATCTTCAGTCACGTTATTGTGACTCATCGTCTGCCTATACCCTCTATTTCGAATGTCTCCCATTGTGGTAAGGGTGACGAGTGCAGGGCAATATTCCATACGAGATAGTAAGAGTGATTTTTAAAATAAGATCATTGCAGTAGTATCCTATTTGTTAATATTTTAATAATTTATCTTATAATTTTACCGGCTGATGCTTAGTTTGTTTTACTATGCTCACAAAACATTTGGTTATCAGTCATTATTATTCCTATACTGTATCCTTTACATGTTAACATTCTATTAGAAGTGATTGTGTCTTGTATCCAATGTGTGTTCTTAATTTTATCCATATCAAACTAATTGAAGTGTGTTGCTGTTGAAAATTATACTTTTCATTCCCCGCTGAAAGTTGTAGATAACTGCTTGTAGTTTTTTAGTTTTCTATGCAAAAAAGATCTAATTGTATTAGAATTGAATTTGACTAAGGTATCCATAGATTAATGGAATTAAAATGAAGCATTAGAGGAGTGGATTGCAAAATGAAAGATTCAATGAGAGCTTGCATAGGGGCATTGTATATTGGAGTCAATATATGGGTGGGTAGCACAACCTTGCACAATTCGATTGCTCACTGAGTAAGAGACAGGTAAAACATCAGCAACAACAAAGATAGAACTATTATCAGAGAGGAAGCTAGACATAAGATCACAGAGACAAGATGGGAAGACAATGGGTACAAGTTGGAGAGTAAAGATTTTTTCCAAACCATTAAACCTATTAAAACAAAATTAAAGCATTCTTCTTACCTGAACTTTATTTGATCAGTCCGGACATGGCTGAGAAACTGGGTGAAGGTTGGATGGTTGGTGGTGGTGGTATTTGCCAAGCCCAGGGACTCTGCCTTGATATTACTGGAGGCTGTCCTGCTGGAGTCTTCATACCGGTGAGCGATCTTATGCTGCAGCTTCAAGTATGGATCATTGCTGCCCTTGACTCTCAACATTTTGTCTCTATAGAAGTAATAGTTTGGTGCCTGATAGTAATATACATGAACTTCTCTAAAGCTTTTTATAAGGTACCACATTAATTAAAGACAAGCAAGTAAATTAGATTAAAGTATAGCACATAGCTATAAACATAGATTAAATAATCAAATACTAGAATGGATACAACAAGGACCAACTTAACTGCTTGGTTTCATTCAGAGTTCATAGCACATCAGAGAGACACTTGACCATCTCACTGACCAGTCACGTGGCAACACACATCAACAATCCTGTCTTGACACTTGGACAACCAATCAACGAGACACAGCAAACCTGTCACTGGCAGTTGCAAGGGAATTAATGCAAATGCCTTCGAGGATTCTCAGGAACACTTATTGACACTGTAACGTATGTTTATGTTACAGTACATTGTTGGGTAGATTAGATACATGGTGTTTAGTGGGTTTTCATATTTATTTAATGGTCTTACCTTGAGGTGCTTCCTTGAGGTGCTTCCGGGGCTTAGTGTCCCCGCAGCCCGGTCGTCGACCAAGCCTCCTGGTTGCTGGACTGATCAACCAGGCTGTTAGACGCGGCTGCTCGCAGCCTGACGTATGAGTCACAGCCTGGTTGATCATGTATCCTTTGGAGGATACAGCAGTATCTTGGATACAGCAGTGTCGTAGATATTGAGACGGAGCTTGGATGAGAGCAGAGAGCTGAGTGAGGCCGGAGTCGCAGAGCTCTATGCGGGAGAGCATGGCGGCTCGATGGGGAAGCTGCTCAGAATTCGTAGTTATAAAGTTCCGGGTTCAATTCCCGGCAGAAGTGGAAACAAATGGGCAGAGTTTCTTTCACCTTGATGCCTCTGTTCACTTAGCAATAAATAGGTACCTGAGAGTTAGACAGCTGCTACGGGCTGCTTCCTGGGGGTGTGTGAGTGGAAAAAAATCAGTTGATTGATTGACAGATGAGAGGCCAAAGAGCCGGAACTCAACCCACGCAAGCATAACTAGGTGAATACATACACCGACACACACCGTATGCAACTCACTGGGCCTTGGTCTCACCGGTAAGCAGAAAGGAGGCGCTCAAATGGGTGTCTGACGATGATGAGTCTCATGGAGTCAGCGAGAAGTCGTTCCCTGTCCCTGGCAGAGCCTGGTGGAGGGAAGAGCTGCTTCACCTGCCCATGAAGGCTCTCGTTCTCCACCTTCCCTGCCAGCATCAGCAGATACTTCACCCATGTCGTCGATGCTGCCTGCAGCACAAGGTTCATCACTTGTATATGTATATATGGTATATAATATAACATATGTATATTTCATTCACGTGGGCACTAGGAAACTTGAACCGCCGACCTCACAAGCATGAAGCGGAAGCTCTACCACTGTACTATGAGACTAGCCATAATAGGAAAGATTTCAGAGGCAACCACCTGCTGACCAACTGAAATTTTATACTTTCTCCGGCTTGCAAGATTTAGTAACCACGCCCACGTCATATAAATTGTCAACCACACTATCATGGAAATAAACATTTCATTCACGAAATAAATGTTTATTTCCTCAATAGTGTAGTTGACAATTTGTATATGTATTTGTATCTAAGATAACAATTTCGAAAAAAATATCTAATTTCAGGAAAACTGTTTGTTAGGCAACTTGGCCTTTTAGGCACAAAACACACACACACACACCTATTACACTTAGGTATTTAAACACGCACGCACGCAGGCGAGCGAGCACGTGCGTGCGTGCAAATAAATCAACACCGAGACCCCTACCTTAAATATCGGGCACCAGACAAAGTGGTGTTGAGGGACCCATCTGAGATTGGTGTAGACAGGGTAAAGCTTGGCCACACCTGTCACGTTGGTAGTATGACACACCTCCTGCACCCTCAGCCTCCTCTCCCTGAGCACCTTCTGCCGCGCCTCCCTCATTTCCTCCGTCTGCATGCAGTAGCACCGACAGCACAGGGTAGTAGATGGGAAATGCTAGTAAGATGCTTTTCAGTGATGCAGTACACAAAATTATAACCATAAGATGTTTATGTGAATTTACCTGAGGGACACTTAACACGCTATAGTGGCTTCCACGAGGACAGGAAGCCGGTGGCTTGTCAAATGCCACCCCCCCCCTCCTTATCTTGAGGTTATCTTGAGATGATTTCGGGGCTTTAGTGTCCCCGCGGCCCGGTCCTCGACCAGGCCTCCACCCCCAGGAAGCAGCCCGTGACAGCTGACTAACTCCCAGGTACCTATTTACTGCTAGGTAACAGGAACTTCCTTCCCTCCATTTGTCCTAATGATTTTTTAAATTTGGATTTTACAGTTTAGCAGTGTTTTTGGTATTTACGGCTTCGGCAGGTAGGCGATTCCACGTATTTATAACCCCATGAGTGATAAAGCATCTCCTGTTTTCAGTCATGTATTGTGGTTTGTTGCCACAATATGGTAAGCCCTCAGGTAAAATTCAGGCAAATATTTGGAACTAATTCTTCTAATACTTCCCAGGTGTATATTATGATTTATTTCCTTCGCTTTACTGTCAGAAAATTCAGGTTGATGCAATATAATCGTTTCCAATAATTTAGTAGTTTTATCAAGCAGATTTGGGCAGTGATAAATTAATGGTCTTTACATGTGTTTTTGTTGTACTATTATATTGCTGAAAACATTATATCAACCGGTCCTCAGACTAAGTCCATTCTATGGACCCCAAAAACGCATTCATTAATTTTAACATGTTGTTCATTCAAAAAAGGAATTTATCATATATAAATTAATATTGTTATATATTAGCAAATTGTGTATATTTAGGCATTGGTTAGGTTAGGTGTTTGGGTTCTGTTGAGGATTATTTGTATTTGTAGTACGTGGGTGAAGCATTTACAGCGTTGTGGTTCGATGTTCCAAGTCTTCAGCGAAGCACTTGTTCCGGAAGGGTTCGGACGTCTTCCGTTGTGAGTTGTGTGTAAACCGTTTTTCATTCGTAAACGGGGTTTGGCGGGTGCATGGAATGGACTTTGGCCTTTGTTTGTGAGGACAGGCTGCTGAAAGGGAGTTAGGGTCGTGGGAGAGTTGTAGCAAAGTCAATCTAGTCGAGACCGCACTTACATCGCCTGTCCTCAGGCTAGGCTCCTCCAACCGGCGGTTGATTCCAAAGACGCATTCATTAATTTTAACATATTGTGTATTCAAAATTTGTCTTTTCTCCAATATAAGTTACTATTATTACATACTAGAATGTGTTGAATAGTTGAGCCTAACTTAGGTTATAATGTTCAGTTGAACATTATTGGAATTTGAAGTACGGGAAGGAAACGTATAGAGATGGGATCCGAGCAGAGAACGTGAACGAAACACTGCTCGAAAAAAAATACTTGCGTCTTCAGTTGGTAGTCGTGTGTAAAGTGTTTTTCACTAACGAGCATTTGGCCTTAGTTGTTGAGGACGGGCTGCGCCTGTTGGTCGTGAGAGTGAACGTCTTGCTTCGTTGACGTACGTGTATGTGATCTATGTAAGTTATGTCATTTATTTTTTTTGTTTTTTATTAAGGAGTATCCAGAGTAACCAGTCGAGTCATTCACTTATTATTATCGTACTGACCAAGATGTGATATAATTTCGTGTGATGCATGTGTACCGTAATTAGGAAATGTATAGTTAAAATTATACAATTAAGCCACAAACCCTCAGGTTTTGCTGTCGTCCAGCGGCAGCAAAACTAGCACATTTTACACACACAGAAATCACAATAGCGTGATACATCAAATGAACAAAAGCTGGGATGCTCCCGGACGCAGGTTCGAATTCCCGTCACGGCCCTTGTTGATTTGTTCTAACACATTTTATTACGAGAATAGTCTACTTTTACCGCTAGGAGTCCATTGTTCAGCACCTACACACCGGAAGTCAGTCTCCACCACCACGGAGCACAAAACAATTGTGAATTCAGAAGACATCCTCTAGACGAAGCTGGAATAACAAGGCTGAAACTTCCCTTCCTTGTTATGGCTGAATGTGGCGATAACAACATTTTATTTATAAGATGTACAAAGGGTTCATAGTGCAGTAGTCAGCAGGTACAATATTTTTGTTTTACAAGGCCATTTGCACACAGCGTTACTGGGTCATGGGCGTCCTTATTCAGGGCCTTACACTGTAAGGTTATCGGGAGACATTTACGTGGAGCGTAAGCGTCTTGAGACTTTCAGTTTATCAGTGTTCTTCATAATTCTGTCGCACGTTATGCTCCGAACGGTCTATTGAAAGGGGGTTGTCGGTAGGGTCTCGGTAGGACAGTTGGGTTCGTTCTCGATTCACACTCTGGAATCTCGAGTTCCAATCTCTGGCGGGAAAGAAATGGTTGGGTAAATTTTATTTCACTTTATGCCTCTGTTCACCTAGCAGTAAATATGGTACCCGGGGAGTTAGTCAAGTGCTGTGAGGTTGCATCCTTCGGAGGGGGTCGACCTCGATATCAGCCTAACATATATATTATGTTAGCGAGCGGGACAGTGCTGGTCGCCTGTCCCACTAAAAATAACAACTTGTAAGGAAGTATAATTAAAGAGTTTTAAAGGCATTAATTTAACCAACAAATTTGTATTCAAATAAAACATTCGGTGTACCTTCAAGCTTGCTAAGGATCCAGCTGCTAAGTCATCTTGACGAAGAATGGGATAATTGCTTTTAATTAGAAATAATAATAATGTCTATCCAACCCGACCCAGTTCCACAATACCTACTTTAAATAAATGTTCAGCATTTCTAAGCTGAGAAAATCTCTCCATACATTAAGAAATCTTGAGCTACTAGCCTAATATTAAATTTTTGGGAGTTGCGAAACTTTACGTATAAGGAGGAAAATATGAACATGAATGCAGCAGTTTTCACAGGCTGTAAATGAACATTATCCAGCAAGTGATGATAAATGTGCATTAGCATCTCGAGTTACTAAATACTCCTTCACAGTGTCTTACCCAAGTGCCACTCAGACTCTTGACAACATCCTTCTTGTACAGCTTCTGGTTCCTGGCGCGAGGTCTGGTGGGGAGCACCAGGTCCTCTCGCCTTGGGGTCATCTCTGCTACGTCGCCCAAGACAACTTGCTTAACTACGACTTCCGAAGAACTGGATGTTTTCACGAAGGCCTTGTTTGAGTCGGTGTTATACTGCGTGAAATTATTCATTAAAGTATTTGCACAAAAGCCATCACAGAGGTTGTCTTCGTGCGCCGTCGGTGTCGTCGGGTGACTGGGAGTTGTACCGAACTGGACAGACGGTGTGTAGTGATTGGGTTGTATCCTGAACAGCATCACGTGAGCTACAGCACACAACGTCAGCACCACCAGCACCAACAGTAATCGACACACTCTTTTCATTCCCTTTCCGAAGCACTTCACTGCATCTGTAGCAGTGCCCATCATAGTAAGACGATCTTCTGGTCAAAACGCAAAAGAGCGGCAATGTTCCGTAGCTGAAAATTCTCTAGATATGAATATGCTTCCGAGCCGATGGGTAGAATTATTTGTTAATATTCGTAAGCACCGCTCCAGTTTCACAAAATACGCAGTTGAAGGAAGCGAGGGGCGTGGCTCACAAGGTGGCGGCGACGCCCTCACGTCACGAGCGACAGGGGGACACTGACGGCATACCGACCCTTCCAGTGTTGATGCATGGCGGTCTCGCCTTATCTGATGCTGTCTTACACTCTGAAATTACGTTTATATTATATTTAAACATATACATCTTATTTGTAACTGGCCATTCAGTTAGACATGTGACGTCTGTTACATATATTTATGTTAAATATATGTGACAGACCCTCGCGCTCACAGTTCCCTGACAAGAGAGCTTAACTCTCTTGTCAAGCTTAACTGCCAACACACCTCCACATAGTGACAGCAAGGCGGACAGCATGTTCAAGTTTTCAAGAGAAAACTACATAGTTTTCTTCAAGAGGTTCCGGACCAACCGGGCTGTGGTGGATATATAGGCCTGCGCGCCACTCCAAGCAACAAGAGGTCACGACCTCTCCGTAGGGTGCAGTCGTACCTCCACAGATCGCCAGTATCAGCTATTGATACTGGTAATGCTCCAAAGGGCCGCCACTTACGGGCTGTTCATGCCCGTGCCACCTTTTGGGTGGCTTAATCTTCATCAATCTCAATCCAAGCAACAGCCAAGCTCTCGCAAGTCAAGCCTGACCTCGGTCCGGGCTTGGGGAGTAGAACTCCCAGAACCCCATCAAGCAGGTAAGCCCGCTTCCTATCATAACTCGCACTATATTTCCCATTTTGAAACTTTTCCCTTCGCTTGTGCCTCTCCATCCACTTTACTATTTCGTTTCTATGCCCGAAACGCTTTGCGTAATAGTGGCTTTAGGCATTGTATGTACTAGCTCTACCTATAAGTCAACCAATCTTTGTAAAAATTTCTTGTATGTACCTTACCTAAATAAACATTTATTTATTTATTTATTTATTTATTTATTTACTGAAAAATAAGGTGTGCATCATTTCTATGTACTTTCTTAATCCCAAATGTATCTTCTTGTATATAAATAAATAAAAACAAATGGGTCTCGGTAGTACAGTTGAGTTCGTTCTCAAACTCACAGTCGGGAATCCCGGGCGGGACAGAATTGGTTGGGCACGTTTCAATCACCTAATCCCTCTGTTTACCTAGTAGTAAATAGGTAACCAGGAGTTAGCTTGCTTTGAGATTGCATCTTAGAGAGGGGCAGTGGTTCGGTCCTGGAGGCGGGGATACTTCGCTATTTAGATTTAGATTTTTTATTCAGGTAAAAAAGCTTAACTTAAGCTAAAAAAAAAAAGCTTAATCTATAAGCTTAACGTCTATATAGCAGTCCCCGTGACGCAGGTGTAATTAAAGCACTCGCCCGACGCTTCGCGAGCTCTTTGCCTGGGTTGGTATTGACCGGGGAGGATTGACTGGCCCCCAATCCTTAACTCTATTCTGAGGACCGGTAGAGGACCCCCATACCCATCATATGGATGGTAGAGGACCCCCATACCCATCATATGGATGGTAGAGGACCCCCATACCCATCATATGGATGGTAGAGGACCCCCATACCCATCATATGGATGGTAGAGGACCCCCCATACCCATCATATGGATGGTAGAGGACCCCCATACCCGTCGTATGGGTGGCAGTGGGCCCCATACCCATCATAAGGGTGGTAGTGGACCCAATACCCATCGTGTAACTAGTTACGCTCCCTATATCAATCCTGTGGGCGGTAGTGAAGGTTGCTAGTGTCTAAAAGAAGGCTTAATGAATTTCATTTACGTAACGGAAAAACATTTTTAATAACCGTTTTAAACCAGACATTCCTAATGTTAAACTTCCTCTCGTCCTCAGGTCCGGCCAACTACAGGCAGACAAGAGAAGGCAACGAGGACAGTCTCTGTACTGAGCATCAGCGACGGGATACAACGATGGTCTGCCCGTCACCACTTGGTCTTCTGATCTTCGAGCTCGCTTGCTGACGACACCTCGGGCCGATTCTAGAGTCAAATGTTGAATTTCTGTAATAAAATTAACTCAAAACACTTATTTTATCCTTCCTTGTATAATTCTGAAGTTGGAGAACAAGATCAGACCTGTTAGTCGTGTGGCTCTCAAACTTACTTTAACTAATTTGTAGATTAGACATTTTTGTATGTTTTCCATTCTTTGATACAGAAGTCCAGATGGATACACTAGTGAATGAGAGGAATAGTTTGAATAACCACTGAAGAGTTCTTTCATTTAATTGTCCTACTGCCTGGTATTTATAAGGTTGAATTAATTTTGGGATGGCTTGTACCTTTAGTGGCAGATACGTCTGATAGCTTTCTTTCAAGAGATCAACGGTACTGTTAATGTAGTTTTTAGCTATAAGAAACCATGCCAGCAGCATCAGGTGGAAAGCTTTTAGAGCTAGGTTAGTGGAACAAGAGATCTTGGGGGGGGGGCGGAAGAGGCTGGGATTAATCTAGTCACCAATAGGGGGATCAACGCAGAAGACCAGCGAGTGTTTAAGAAACTTTTCCCCGTTCAGGCGACAGCCCCAGCATCTGTACTCTTGCTCCAGGACGTCTCAGCACTAGTCACTGCACTTTAGTGGGAGGCGAGAGACTAAAGGAATTATCATAAGGCACCAAACCAGGAAGGCTATGTAGCACCATCAAATATTCATTTTTAATTAAAAATGGCAATTCACCTTCAATCAAGTAAAACCTATATTTAAGTATAAATCTTAGTTCACAATTAAAACCTTGAGATTAGACAAGCTTAATACTGGAGATACTTAACATGTGTGCATCACAGTCTTGTTCCAAATTGTAATCTGCTAATCAACAAAAATACACAAGTTTAATGAACATTTTTAACTTTGCTAGAATTCACAATTTTCTTTCCCGCTCCACCCGCCATTTTTTTCCTAAAAAGATTTAATTAAATCTGGTCCATATATAAATTTGCATTTATGATGTGTACAAGTTAAATAATAGTTAGAGATATTTATTAATCATACTGGGTCGCAATATAGAATGCACTTCTGTGGCTAGAAAAATAAGCAACTAAGGAAATCATCTAGTTACCATATTAGAATGGGTTTATAATACAAAAACCTGTAAAACTTATTTTACGACATCGGAGAGTTGAGCCGCCGTTAAAGTTTGATATTAACTGCTAAATAAAGAAGAAACTGAACAAAAGCCATTCATCTTTGAAACCTAGAGGTGTCTATGGGAGCGAGGCCCACAACCAAGTTTTACAATGAATCCCCATACACTGGTTTGTAGGGGAGGGGGGGTACTGGTACACATTTGTCCCCTCCCCCCCTCCCCAGGTGCATGGTGCCAATGTCATGTCAGTGATATTAAAGTCTATCAATTAATAGTTTAACAAGTTAGATTTGTCGAGTTGTTAATTTCTTAAAATACAAAGTTACACTAACGACACTTGGGTCCTTAGAAAGTTTTGTGAACAAGCATAAAGCGACCTCCCGGTTCAGGTATTCAAGAATAATATGAGCTAGTTTAAGTTCTAATATTTTACAACTTAACATTCAGGAAACCAGGCCATTTTCTGGCAAAAAAAATATCTAAGGCTGGTCTCACGACACCACGTAATGTCTTGCCACTTTATCCCGTCGATATAAATGTTCAGTACCGAGACAGTCTTTGTTGCCTTTCCTGTTGTACGGCAGCGGTCGCCCGAACCTGGGAAGGGAAGAGAAGAGTTAACAGAGGTATTATACTCCTTAAAATAAGATCTTAAATATTATGGCAAGATTAACTTTGAAACTGTTTCGCAGCCGTTTAAGCCCTTATGAGTAACCTGGAATCTTTTTAAAAGTCTACCAACACCCCGTACGTTATGACAATTTAAGTTGTATTACAAATGAATAAAGTAAAACAAGCCATACTGACCCTCCAGCGTGAGACTAGGAGGACGGTGTACCAAGATGACCTCCAGGTGGTAGTGCCTCGCTCGTTGCCGCTTGTAAACGAACTGGAGCCCACCTAACAATTCTTAGAACAATTTGCTATTTAGTGTTAGAACTTTAAATATGGTCATCCTACTGGACTGTGCACATGTTTCAATAATGTAACCATGTTAAACACTAATAAAAACTAAATTTGTCTGGCGTTAACTATGAAGTAGTCCTTACCCTTGTCTACTACTAACTAGCTGGAAGCCTCTGCCAAGACTAGCAGTAAGAGTTTGACCACAGCTGTAGGCATCAGTGTTCACACCATTAGAAATTGTTTTTACCGCCCTCGTTTCCACGTATGCAAGACTAAAAAATTCAAAATATTTAAGAGAAGTCATTGTGTAACCTATATCTGACACTAAGCACATTACCGTTTTGATCTATGATTTATAGTAACCAAATCAAAGTACATTTATTTACCATATTACCAGGTATTCCACAGGATAGCGTAGAGTTTGCCGTGTCCTTGAAGGCCGAGAGTACGTTAAGCTGGGGGCCGTGGGACCAAAGGAAGCTGGGTACCTTTACTGTAAATACATTAATGCTACACCTTCAGTAACAATCGTGTGAACAGTCAGTTTAATTTTCTTATACTAAAGTAAAAACTACATTGAAACAAGTGTTAACATTGACCTCTAAGTATCTGGAACAGTCAACGTGCATGGCTATGTTGTACATTACCAAACCACAACTAGGTGCTAGAGCAATCCACTGGAGAAGTGTCCAGAGACTAGCGTCTGAATTTTACTTACGGCGCGTTTGTCAAGTTTGACTGCCTTGTATAGACCGCCGGGGCGCCCACAAGCTCACCACTACGAACCGGTAGTCAAGTTAATCTCAGGTGCAATAGAACGATTATTCCGTTAACTATTTTAATGAACTATTTACACAACTACACTAATTTCAATCATGAAAGATTCAAAGCGACTGAAATGCCAATACGTTAAGACAATTTTAAGATTAATATATTACGATAGTTATATAATTAACGTTAATAGTAAAAAACAGACTAACACATGTTAAGACAATTAGTTTTGACTGTAGTTAACATTTTAAATACTAGTAACCCCTTGGTACACTCAGAAATTTGTTATGTATTCAACTGAATTTTAAGGCTGAAGACCAGACGTTAAGGGCTAGCTAGCCTCCCGCACGATACAAGTGGGGTAGAGGAGCGTCACAGGCTGGTTTGTGTCAGCTATAGGGCCACACGCAGCATCATGCGCACCTTACCCAACCTTCGACTCTTCTAGGCAAATAGGAAATTGTAATTTTTCCCTATACACTTTAACAGTGCCAGTACGGGGAAACCAAGGGAAAGGGAGGGAGGGGGGGGGAAGGGAGACATTCACCAAAGGGGGAGGGAGGGACAAAGGAGAGAGGGGGCGCAACAAAGGGGGAAAGGGAGGAGGACGCAGGAAAGTGAGGGAAGGGCGCTCAATAAAAGGGGGGAGGGCGCGCAACAAAAGGGGGGGGAAGGGGGGGGGGACGCAACAAAGTGGGGGGGGAAAGGGAGGGGGACGCAACATGGGGCAGAGGGGAGGGGGACGCAACATGGGGCAGAGGGGAGGGGGGACGCAACAAGGGGCAGAGGGAGGGAGGGAGGGAGGGGCCCCCACATACAGCTCACCTCCAAGAGACGAAGCTGGAACTGTATACCAAAAGTGAGGTAAAACACACTGAAGTGTATTTTGTCTCATCGTCACCTTTATACCCAGCAGCCAACCAAACCCGGCCACTGATTGGTTGACATTCACCCTGAAACTCACCTCATTGGTTAACATTTCACGAGTCTGAAGTGTCAATTATCAATGGCCAACAGCCACTCCTTCACTTCCCTATATATGAACGAGTCTCTTATGAACCAATAATGATCCCCAGCTTGTATGTTTGAAGTTCTTAATTTCAAAATCTAACTCACAAACCAAATACAACATTCTATTGTAAATGTTGCAACATAACAACAGGTACAACAGAGCAACATTGGCAGTGAAGTAGTAATCGTCCGTCAGTCAAGAACTGTTAATGGCAGCTCGACAACTACAATATACTGTACAGTATATGCAATACTAGACTAACAAACCCAACAACCCAAAGTTCCTGATACAACACTGGATGATGTTAAATATTTGCTTTCAATTGACTTAAGATATTGCTTCTTAATGACAAATTAAGTGATTTTAACTCATTGAAGTGTGGACATTTATACTTTATAATAACTATTAACGTCCAGAATGACATTGTTCAGAATATTATTCTGCACAAGTGGCGTTGTCTACGATCACTTCCTGACGCCGGACGGGTCCTCGGTGCTCCTCTCGTCTTCAAAACAACACTTCCTACCATCTTCTTCGCTCTTTCTGTCTCTGCCTCCCCAAGGTACTCCTCGAGCGCCTGGAACCAGATTCACGAAAGCACTTACGTAAACACTTACGAACCTGTACATCTTTGCTCAATCTTTGGCAGCTTTGTTTACAATTATATAACAGTTAATGAGCTCCGAAGCACCAGGAGGCTGTTTATAACAAAAACAACAGTTGATTGGGTAGGTTTCATGCTTGTAAACTGTTTAATAAATGAAAACAAAGCCGTCAAAGATTGAGGAAAGATGTACACGTTCGTAAGTGCTTGCGTAAGTGCTTTCGTGAATCTGGCCCCTGGAGTATAAGTCTCAAGACGAGTCTTATAGGATGCCAGGCGGTTCCCAGCTCCTTCCTACACGCCCTCTACAGCTTCAACCTCTTCAGTTATGCCTGTTAGAGCTGTAGGTTTACCTTAAGAGTTATAACTGTCTTATCGTAATCTCCACCTCAGACGATCACAGCCAGACAGTAAGGAAGGCAACTAACACCGTCTCAGGGTACTAAAGAACATCTACAACGACGGGATAACATAACACGTCATTGCCTCTCATCACGTCAAGTCTGTCACGTGACACCAGCCTCTTATGTTGATGCCTCTCGTCGGTCTTGCCTCTCAAGTCTTCCTACTTGGGAACCTGTACACTGAACGTTGCTACCTTCAATATTGTCACTGTATCCTCAGGATGGATAAAGGGTCCATAAATATAGTCACTCGATGTGTATGGGGTCCACTACCGCCCGTAGGATGGGTATGGGGCCCAATACCACCTGTAGGATGTAATGGGGTACACTGCCAACTGTTGGATGAATATGGGTCCACTACCGCCCTCAGGATGGGTATGGGGTCCACTACCACCCACCTGTGTGCAGTAGTGGATCCCATACCAATCCTGTGGATAGTAGTGGATCCCATATCCATCCTATGGGCGATTGTAGGTCCCATTCCTATCCTACAGGTGGTAGTGGACCCCATACCCTCTCTGTTGGCGGTAGTTCAATTCAAATTCGAATTCGAATTTTTATTCAGATAAAAGTACATACATTGATGAAGAGTTATAAACTCGTAACTAATTAGTAACTAATTAGTTATAGTGGTCCTCCTACTCATCCTGTGGGCGGTAGTGGCCCATACACCATCCTGTAGGTGGTAGTGGATCCCATACCCCATCGTGTACTCACCTAATTGTGCTTGCGGGGGTTGAGCTTTGGCTCTTTGGTCCCTGTGGGTGGTAGTGGATCCCATACCCCATCCTGTGGGTGGTAGTGGATCTCATACCCCATCCTGTGGGTGGTAGTGGATCCCATACCCCATCCTGTGGGTGGTAGTGGATCCCATACCCCATCCTGTGGGTGGTAGTGGATCCCATACCCCATCCTGTGGGTGGTAGTGGATCCCATACCCCATCCTGTGGGTGGTAGTGGATCCCATACCCCATCCTGTGGGTGGTAGTGGATCCCATACCCCATCCTGTGGGTGGTAGTGAACCCCGTACCCATCCTGTGGGCAGTAGTCGACCCCATACCCATCCAACAGGTGGTAGTGGACCTCATAAACATCGTGAGATTTGTTCTGAACCCCATATCTATCCTGTTTGCAGTAGTGTACCCCATAGACATGACAGCGTCTTATCTGTTTTCTGTTGACGTTCCTATAGTTCATTCTCTTTAAGATTTTTAAAGCGTATACTATAGTATATAATGTTTAGGGGACGCATCATTATTTTATGTAATAATTTATAGAGTGCTTATTATAATTTACTGAGAAGCACCAAGATTTCTCCTAACCTTTAACAGGATGCACTATAGAATAGTGGTTTAAATCATGGGTTGAAACATTAGTTGACACAGAATGGAGACTTATTATAATGTTGTTTTAACTATTTTAGTAAAGAGAGTATTCATCTGTCAACAGTTATCATCTTCGCTGACGACTTCACTACACTCTTAATTATTAAGCCTTAAAATCATCCAAAATACTAAAATAAGGAGCCATGGGCGGTAGCTATGTATACCATAGGTGAATTATAGATGTTAATTAATAATTTTAATGATGGCAGACTCTGGGGAGCATTATGAGGATATCATCAACACAAGAGTGAATAAGGCAGCAGTGGTACTAAAAGTCCCCATCTCGCAGGATAGGTGGTCATACAGGACCATATGTTCAGTAGCCTGCACTGACAAATTTTAGGTGCATTATGAGGATAAATTGAGATGCATACAGAAATCACAATAGCGTGATGTATCAAATAAGTTCAGTAGACCTTCTGGTTACAACTCTTTTTGACCATGTCGTAGCTCAGTCGATTAAGGCAGCGTCTGGGATGATCTCAGACGTAGATTCGAATCCTAGTCACCGCCCTTGTGGATTTGTTCATGAGATACATAATTTATCTTGACGAGTTTCACCTATGTCTGAATTAAGATAAGTTTTCTACTCTTACGCCAAATCTGAAAACATTGGTGTTTATGGCCCGCCACCACAACCTGGCTGATCAGGCATCCTCTATAGAATCTAAATTATCTACAGTTCCCTCTTCAATTTTTACAATTATTACTGCAACACTGGTTTATATTTTCTGGTACAGCGTTGAAGTGTTTTGTTCGGACTTTACCTCAGGAGCAGGACGTTGTGTCTCTTGCCAATATATAGAAACTAAATTCCATTTTTAGGCTTCACGATTACTGTTTCCCGTGGTCGGAAACGGGAAGAACTTTAGCGCCCCCCCCCCTGGGTCGTAAATAAACGACGCGTAAATGCCGGTATTTTTACCACGAGTTGCGGTAGCGTCGTAAATTTACGCGCGATTAAAAAATATTTGTATAAAATCCAATTCTTATTCGATCGACTTGGGGATAGTATGAAAATGTTTGCCATTAAATTTCCGTTTTCTCTAATAGGCACATGGCCTATTTGGGAGAACGGCATTGTATTGTAACTTAGTGGAAAGACTATTGTATTGTTGACACGGCGAGGGTAATCGCCCACTTCACACACTCTTGGTGTAGGCCGCGATCATGATTCTACATTTATATGCATATGTCCGTGTAGGAAATTTAATTGCGATCACAGTGATACCAAATTTAACACTGTAGGACAAGTGTGGAGTTGACAACCCTGAAAAGAATAGAAACATTTCGTCGCTGTTTGGAGCTCACGGCTAGTGATCGATGTAGCTCTTTAGCTTTTTGTGTGATTTAACTAATGCTTTGGTGACATATACGTATGTTCTTATACATCATTCTATTGCGAACACATTGGTACAAAAATGAAATCTGTACATCGAAAATTAAGGTCAGGACAGCGAAAAGAGTATGCACTTTTCAGTGTTGCCGCTCGGTCACCCGAAAACGTCCATTTCACCTCGGGGTGCGTCCAGTCCAGTGCGTGGAGAGCATGAAAGTGCTATTAGGCTTGTTGAGGTCCACCAACAACAGGTACCTGTTTACTCCTATGTGAACAGAGGCTTCAGGAAACCTGCCCAAACGTTTCAATCCCGCCTATAGTGGTTAATGACTTATTATATATTATTTTGATATAAATTCCTGTTTGTGATTTTTTAGCACCAAATTCACTTTGTAACCGGCAGACGTCATCCACACCTGGTCCACCCTGCGTGTTGCGTTGGGCAGCAGTCTCACACACATGCTTGGATACGCAATAACAGTTTATTTGCATAGATCTTGCCTATCCAATTTAGCGGAGTCTTAGCCCTGCGAGTACCACGGGAGAAACCCCAAAAGAAAGTCTTGACTGCGCTGTCTAGTTGCTACGATAGCGGAGTTGGCTATAAAAACAGGTTTCAATCAGACAACATTCCTGGCCAGACTAGACGGTCTCTCTCTCACTGTCGTCGAGATGGGCTGCCTTATTATGGACCCAGAATGTGATATTCATCTTGTAACAAAAAAAAGTGTCAGTCTGATTTCACATGACATACTATGAAGATTTTCTTCCAGCATTTCTACTATCGCCTTTGCACGATACAAAGATGTCAAGTTGAAAGAGAAAAAGAGTCAAACAGTGAAGTTCCATTTGATATTCTTGTCACAGGTATTCAAGAAGGTAACCGGGGCTGCTGCTGGTGTTCTCTGGGGGCAGAAGGGTGCCTGGTGACCCCACTGGAGGAATCTTATTAGTGGAGCGATGGCTGGCCCTCCAGACCTTCCACCACCATACTTCCCTCCTAGCGACTTGCCTACCTCCCTACCTTCCTCTTTCCTCATCTTCTTTCTCTTCCTTTCTTTATCTCTCAGACTAGGGTTCATAAGGGCTGTTACCTCTTCGCTTAGCCAACTGACATATCTAGTGAAGCTGCAAGCAAGAGCTGTTATCCTACCTCAGCTCATCTGAGCTCTGCTCCTAGTGAATTTATTTATTTCATGAGAATGTGCTTTGAACCAATTACATGGGGAACTATCATATAAGGAACTTGGTGAAACTGCGAGCAAGAGGTAATCCTCCCTTAGCTCAGTTGAAACCTTTTCTTGAGCCCCATTTTTTTCATGAACCTATTAGATGCATCAATATGAATAAACTTTATTCATTAACAACATTAGGTAACAATCATATAAGGAAGAGGATGAGCCTGAACCTATCTGTGTGCCAGAGCCTTCGTGTGATCAGTTGACCTGATCTCCCGTGTATCAACCTGTTGAGTGAACAAGTTCCAGATGCCATTCAGCCTGGGAGTGAATGATCGCTGATGGAGTGATGTTCTAGAGAAAGGCAGTTGCAATATGAGACTGTTAAAGGTTGACAACCTAATGCCAAAATCCAGATTAGTATAATGGAGAGAAGATTATATGAGTGGGGAAAACCTGGTCCACTGGGGGGTCGAATTACGACTTGTGCTTCCAGTGGACGCCGATAACTGGCCAGGCACACAGGTAAACTAGCAGAGAGAGACTAACATCAAAAACAGATGCGCAAAAATATATCAACGAAATATGAAACGCTTTCTAATTTAAAGTCCACATTGTTAGCAGTAATGCCGATTGGTAAATTATGTAACCAAATGGGGGAGTGTGGGGGAAGGAGGGGAGGACCTTTTAGACGGGATGTGTAGGAACTTTAGAGGGGGTTGCTGCTCTGGGAGGGGAGGTGGTGTGGGAGGGGTTGTTGCTGTGGGAGTGTGTGTGGGGTAGAGAGGTGTTGCTGATGTGGGAGTAGGGGGGGTTGGGAGAGGCATTGTTGTTGAGGGAGTGGAGGGTTGGGGAGGGGGTTATTGTTATGGGGGTTGGGGGGTTGAAAGTGAAGTTGTTGCTGTGGAAGTTGCTGGGTTATGAGAAGAGATGGTACTGAGGGCAGAGGGGGGTGGGGGAAGAGTTGTGATAGGGGGTTGCCGATGAGCAGTGTTGAATTACTTTGGGAGTTGAAGAACTTCTGAGCCATGGGAATTGGGCAGTGAATGGAAGTTCAGTAATTGGGTAGGTGGGTGGGTGGGTGGGTGGGGGGTAGGACGTGACCCACTGGCCTAGCTACCAGTGGCTGTGGGCGATTGGGTAAACCCAAACACTCCTCTCACAACTTAAGGTATTGCCATATCCTGCCGAACACCATACACAAGTTACACAAGTATATCTCCCCTCGCCTTCAGCCTCGGTGTGTTCCACGGCTCACAACTTCCCGGAAGAAACCTGCAGGAGGTTTCAGTGTAAGGGAACAACGTGAGCATATACCTCATCTCTCATACCTTGGGTGGAGAGAGCTGGGAACAGGAGGGGGCGAGCGCGCACGCGCACACACATCTCGCGCCCCCCCCCCCTCCCCCGCGAAGCTCCTATTCATTGGCCTCCTGTGCATCTAATACACACACATTCTCGCTGCTTCCTGGGGGATGTGTGCACGCGCGCGCGTGTTAGAGAGAAATATATGTAGTAGACATAATATAGGGAAAATAGATTGGTTAGAAAGGCGGGGATCCAAGAGCTAATAGCTCGATTCTGCAGGCACAAATAGTAAATACACGCTCACCTCTGTACTCCGTACCTATTCCTGTAATATGGAACCTGTACACCGGCTTAGGAATCTGTTCACTGGTTCATTGACAGTTGGGAGGCGGAACCAAAGAGCCGAAGCTCAATCCCCGCAAGCACAACTAGGTGAATATACACACATAGCCGAGTAGACGGCACTCGGGGGGGTGGGGGGGGGGTTGTCACAGTCCTGAGGGCCCGGGTTCGATTCTTAGCTGCACGCACTTCCCAAATTTCGTGTGAAAATTTTAAGAATTATTTTTTTAACAATATTGTACATGAAGTTGGCGAATATTAGTGTTCACAAGGTTCACAAACTGCAAGATAACGTATAAATCATGCGTTTTCGGGCTATTGGTGGGGGGGGGGAAAGAAAGAAAGAAAGAAAGAAAAAGAAAAAGAGAGAAAAAGAGAGAAAAGAGAGAGAGAGAGAGAATCGTTTTTTATTCAGCTGACTTTCCCCGTTTTCTTCATGGTTACTTTCTTCATACGTGTCTTAGGCTCTTAATGTTAACTGAATTGTCTTTTGGAATACCTATTATATCTCTGGTATTCAACGAGGCATTTTGCATCTTTTTGTCATGCCTCCTGATCTTGTTGGGAGTTATTTCCTTGTACAGATTTAGAATCAGTTCCTCTAATATTGTCCAAATGCGAATTGTGCATCTCTCTCTCGCCTGCACTCTCGAGAAAGAAAATTTAGACATTTTAAGAGAGTTCCAAAATTTTATGTAATGAATTCGGACAATAACAGATTTTTAGCATGTTCTCCAGCATTGGTTGAGGATGTTAATGTACAACAATATGCCGCATTAGATAGTACTGGAGTCTTAAAGTATCATCATTGGTTTGACATTTTTTGTTTGAAAGGTTCTTGTTATCTAACTTGTAATTGTGATAGTAACTTTATTGTGCTCTTTAAAAAGTAAGGTCTTCCGACGCGATTACTTGCAATTGCTGTAGTTACAGTTACCAGCTGTAGTATAGTAACAGGAATACTTAATATTGCTGGTAACTTACATGTTACATAGTACAACAACCCAGTTGGTAATTTGCACATGTGGGGTAATTTACTCTATTCTGTGAGTTGAGCAAATGTTGTATTTGTCCACGTTTGTGTGTGTCAGAAATTAAGGATTAAATCAGTCTGACTTTCATTTCAGCAATATTTTATTAAATAACTTTTACAATATTTACACAATATGGCCTACTCGACTGACTTATGCATGAACTTACAATTAAAGAAATACAAAATAAGTAAGACAAAACTTACACCAAGAATGAGCGAGATGAACACATCTCTTCTTTATGTTAAGATTAATAAGGACTTGCAAAAACAAGAGCTGTCCAGTCTCCCCCAATGGGACTGTAAACACAAGGTCAGAAGAATCCAGGTGGCGTTCGTGTAGGCTCGACTTTCGAATGACTTTGGGATTTTCGACCAGAGATGACGTCATGAAGCAAGATCTACAACAATTTGATTTACTGTTGTGCGTGTGTATGTGTGTGGGGGGGGGGGAGGGGAGGAGGTTATGAGTCTATATATATTCCTTTATCAAGTGGGTTGTCATAGTGTTCTTCGGTGTGGACACCAAAATTATGATATATAGTTCTCCGATCGAAGAGCGATGAAGTCGCGCCTACAAGAACGGGCACATGTAAACACAGCTTAACTTAGTATTTCCTTCCAAACAGCAGCTGAATAAGCGCTCACGAGCCCCTGACGGACCAGCGATAGCCTGACTTCTACTGAGCTTAATTAAACCAGAGTAATTACTTGGGACTCAAATGCAAAGAACCTAGAAAACAACGTCTGGATTTGTTCATGCTAATATGCATGCGCCGCTTTATATGTAACAGACTCGAGAACTTCAGAGCTCGATATTAGAATAACATGAAAATCCACCTTCAAATGAAGTAAATCATTCATAAATTAAAATCCTTAACTAAAAAAAAAATCTTTATCGTGATAACATAAAACAACACACACGTATCTCGCCAGAAACTCGATGAAAATGTTCCCTAAGTAACGGAATGAAAAAAAATATAAAAAGAGGAGTCTCCAAGCCTAAGCCAGGCAAAGGGGAATCCTACACGGAACGCAATATATGGCAACAACACTCGAGGCACATACCAGGTAGTCTTTCCCGTCTAACAACCAGAAGGGGCTCCGGGCGGTGGCAGCTACCAGGCAACCCAAGCAATCAATCGTAAGATGTAGTGTGGCAAATATTGGAAGCTAGAAGCTAGCAACAGCAGGAGCACTTGGCGCTAGTTTTGAGAAACTGTGCCCCTGACTATGTAAGGTCAGAACCGCTGGGGCTCACTGTAAGTGTCGTGAGATTACTGGGGGGAAAGATGGTACGTGAAATGTTGTGTGTTTGTATAGAGTGGATTTAAGCGGCAGAACTAGGTTTTGAATGATAGTACAGGATTATGAGCGGTAGGACTAGGCTGTGAATGATGGTACAAGATTATGAAAGGTAGGACTAGGGTATGAATGATAGTTAAAGACTATGAGCAGTAGTTCTAGGCTATGAATGATAGTACAAGACTATGAGCGGTAGTAGGCTATGAATGATAGTACAAGACTATGAGGAGTAGAAGTAGGCTATGTATAATACCACAAGTCTATGAAGAGTGGCAATACAAGGGTACACATTCCATGTTAGTTTTGTCCAAATATGTCTTCTATTCTTTACGGATTAGGTTTACGTAAATTCTTCCGCTGATATAATCTTTAGGCCTAGTAGGTAGGCATCTGAAGACATCTGATATCGTCGCATGACCATCGACCGCAAATTGCCAACATAACAGCTAGCAGCAGAACATTACTCTGCCCAATAATGCTGTTCAGATTTTGGTCTCTTACAATGCCTTTGTGTCGATAATTCAAGCTTTCTTGGTTGATACATGTTTGCTTAACTATCCTAGTGATATTTTGATGACAATCCTTTCCACAAATCATGACATATAAAGATTAGGAAAGACTTAAAAAAACCTCGGGAATCTACTTGTTTTTAGTGTGTTATGGATGCAAAAGAAGACCCTTGTTCTGTATTTAGGTTATATAAGTGTAGCGGACGTCTATTTACGCGAAGTGGAATGTAGAAAATATTACGCAACTTCGACCAAAATATTAGTAAAGGAAAATATGAACAAAATAAAAAAGAATAAAATGGCAAGATGAGCTTAAAAAGCTTTTGAGTGGATTGTTAGCAAATTCTGCCAAATGCCAGACTTAAAACCCCTTTTATAACCGTCCTGGAGCCCGCAGGCGATTCAAAGACGCTAGACGAAATACTGATAATCCTATGACAGAATTCCTTATCAAAGTAAATACAAGACATTATTACATACAAGCGTTTATACATAGGCTATCATACAACTGCGGAATACGCAACAATGCAGCATGGCTTCCCATACACACCATCTTCTCCTCTAACGTTCATTTCGAACTACTGAAATGACGCAAGGAATTGTTGAGTTTCGTATTGGCAATGACATTTCTCGAATATCACGTCATAATCAAGCACTGGTATAACACAGTACACTCCTCCACTGCACTCGGCCGCACTGGGGCTAAAAATATTTGCAACGCAAAAGCCTGAAACAAGAGTGTTGGCAAGTACACAGTGATCAAGGAACACTGGGGAAAATCTCGACTTGACTTCAGGCTCCTATAGAGAGCTACGCTATTAGGCTATATACTAAGACAAGCTCGCCCGTTTTATAATGAAACATATGGACGTCAGAACAATCTGTCCATAATTTTCTCTACGGGTTCTTCACCCAAGGTGTAGGCCTACTTTGAGTCAACTAGAAGCATCCCATTTGTTGCTATAGAGAACGACTCACACCGGCATCATCTCTGAACTTGCATTAATCTACTCTAAAAATTATTTATATATATTTGAAATGGTATATGTAATATTATTATTTTTGTGTTTACATAATGAAAGTAGCGTACTAAATACGCCATTTCGTAACGTATTAAATAGATACACAGATTTATATATATATACCGCTTCTCCGTGTATATACACCGAGAGTTTAAGTCTGGACTATGTTCAGGACTTAAGAATATTTGCTGGTTGGTCAACAAGTTTTTGCGGTGGCCTTAATAACCGTCCCGCGGTGATAGGCCTCAAGGCCAACACCACCACACCAAGCCTACTCTGTGCCTCAATCTGGATGACATCACTCAGGGATCTTCACGTCCAACATTAACTGTTTACTGTAGAATGAGAGACCTTTTGTATCTGTTATCATACTATGATACGAGTCGAGGGAAGACTGCAAGTTCCGCTGCTCTGACAGCCTAGTCTACAGTAGGTAATATTTTGTACTATTTATCTACTAATCTATAAACGTTTTTAAATTTTTATTGATGTTTGGACCATCAACATGATAACCTGTTGTATTTAAATTACAGCCGGCTGTATTTAAATGATAACCGGTTGTATTTTAAGTTTTTTTTTTTTTTTACTTCGGTTCCTAGAGCAATATCTAATCTATGACCGGAGGTTCACTCTCGAGAAATGTAATCCGATTCATTAACTTTTACGAATTTAGAAAGTACAAGACACTCTGAATGGTGTAATTTAAGCATACTAGAATTCCATCTGTGATTACTTCCCGCATCGTGGCCAGGCCAGATGACTTGAAGTGATCCATGGCATCTCTGTCGGTCCCCCAGTGCGGCCCCAGTTCACACACACACACACACACACACACACACACACACACACACACACACACACACACACACACACACACACACACACACACACTAGCCAAAACTCGTAAAAGCTCCAAAGTGTATTACTTTACGAACCTTCATACCAAACTTTATACATTGTTCCAGTACCTTCTCAACGAATAATAAAAATACTCCAAATGTTGAGAACTTTTTTTCTTAAATTAAAATTGTAATTATTTACTACCTCTCTCATTTTTGGTTACCAAAAGAGGAGAGAAGATCATTTCCTTTATTAAACTATTTTCATCTTGCATTTTCAGAGCTTTCATTTGGTCGTTCTTCGCACATTTTTCATATTCACATTAATAAAAAAATATGACTTGTCCAAAAGGATTGTTTAAAAAACAAAAAATAATTAAATCACAGCACACATGGAGCTTCTTTTGAACAATGTTTTGCGCTATTGTTCACTCTTTTTGCACTCTTGTTTCACTCATATATATATATATTTATTTGTAGAGTAGGGGTAGAGAGTGGTTAATGGAGACATTTGTTTTTTTTTTGCCCTGGCGCAATATGGCAGCGCCTGGGATGCTCTCGGACGCAGGTTCGAACCTCCGTCACGGCCCTTGTGGATTTGTTCTCTTGTGGCGTAGAGTTCGGCAACACCCACTGTAGGGGTGATGTGGTCAGTCGTGGCGCCGCTGATGGCAGCTGGTGCTGGTGTTCCAGGCACGAGTTATGGCTTTGATTTTCCTCCTCATCCTTCGTCCTACTATTGAATTCTACCCTGGAAAGAGAAAATTAAATTATAAATATGTAAATCACGAATAATGATACATAAATTTTACAGCTTTTACATATATATATTGATATATCGTGCTGCATAATTAAACTAACTATATAAGACATGACATTAGTTAGTATAGCATATATACTATATGCTATATGCGCTATAGCATATATACTATATATGCTATACTATATGCTATATATACTATAGCATATATACTATACTATATGCTATATATGCTATAGCATATATACGCTATACTATATGCTATATATACTATATGCTATATATGCTATAGCATATATACTATATATGCTATACTATATGCTATATAGTATATATGCTATAGCATATATACTATATATGCTATACTAACTAATGTGTAATAAGGAACATCACGTGTGAAATTCTATTAACAAGATGTTTCCAAATTAAATATGACAATAATCAAAACAATATGACCATAAATCATTAAATAATTGGGTCTCTGATTAACTGCAAACTGTCATTCAACTGCACAGATTTGCAATATGCGAGACACGAGCAAATAATGACTTTCCATTTCAAAAATTAAGTACAAAATGTAAAATAAAACTGTTGATGGTTTGATATTTTAGTGTTCAAAAAAAGTTTTGTGTATATATCAACCCGTCCTCGGGGGTTTGCCAGTCACGCAACGGGCGGCCCCGAACACGCATTCATAAATGTTAACGTACTGTGGATTTAACATCTGCAGTCAACCCCTTACCCACACACACACACACACACACACACACACACACACACACACACACACACACACACACACACACACACACACACACACACAATCCACACACACACACACATAAGACTAAACCTTCCCCGTCTCTCCACATCGCTGTAACAAATTTCAATACAGAATGTCTTCACTGTAAACATCTTTACACCATCTACATCCCCCCCACACACACTCCCTCATATCACCCACATACACCCTCCCCCATGTCCTATCTTCCATCCCATCTCCTCCCAGCACGCCCCGTCACCTCTCCCCCTGCAAACACCCGGCCTTCCCCCGTCCCCTCTTCCCCCTGCTCAGTGTTCAACCCGTCCTCTTGAATAGTACATAGCATTTTGACGTATAAAACCTAGAAGGCCAAAAACTGACGTGCTAAATATCACAGCTGCTCTCAAAATTGACAATGTCCAGTCGTCTTCTATGTGTGCGTCCTCTGTTAGGTTCGGCCACTTTGGTAATGGTGTGGAGGTGGGGGGGGCACTGGCGTCGTGTTCCCCTTAAGGGTGGCACAGGGCCGACCTCCGAGCCCCCTTATGACACTCCCGATAAAATCACCATTAACCCTGGAGTTTAATGAGCCTAGCCCCAAGCATCTGGCCTCGAACCTTGAACAGGAAGATAGATTGATTGATAAAGATTAAGTCACCCTAGAGTTGGGCACGGGCATGAATACCCCGTAACCCTGTTTATGTTTGTTGTTTTAGATTTGGCTACTCAGAACGAAATGTCCATGTAGCACGGGCTATGGTGAGCCCGTAAACCATGTTTATGAGGAAGGGCTGTGCATATAGGCCTATGTTAGGTCAGGTAGTTTGGTTGTTGTTATACATTCAGCTACTCGGAAGCACGGGCTATGGTGAGCCCGTAGTGGACTTACCTGGCACAGGAGTGGTGCTCTGCGGGTAGTTTGGGCAGGTGAAGTGACAGCACGACCTGAAAGTGACTGAAGCACGTCTGATGCTAATAGGTTAAGACAAGTCACACACTTATCTCGACCCATTTTCAGGAACACTTGCCAGACTCTCCTTAATCCAACAGTTGACGCGTGTATGAAGAAACTTTACACATGACTCAAGTTACAGCCCCGCTCCTGTGCCAAGTAAGTCCACTACGGGCTCACCACAGCCCGTGCTACTTGCAACTTTTTTGTTCCAAGTAGCGAATTTTAAACAACAACCTACAACCACAGGAGGCCTGGTCGACGACCGGGCCGCGGGGACACTAAGCCCCGGAAGCACCTCAAGGTAACCTCAAGGTAACTCCCAAATTACGCTCAAACTTTTCTTAAAACAGTTCTTCCATCTCTTCCTATGTTCGAATTGCTTCTCTAAATACTTCACCCTCGTACTGTAAATACCAATAATTGCCAAAACTGAACAGTAGTAGTAGTAGGCATCCATCAGTCTCAGGAGACTATGGAGTTGCGCTCTGGTTGTCGGTCTGGAGTGGCCTCTCCAGGGCGCAAAGCCAGGATAGGTTGATATGGGGGAGAAGCTGTTACCCAAGCAGCAGGTCCCCCCTCTCCACAAAGTATTAACAAAATGGACAAAACTGAATTAAGTATTAATTTATAATTAAGTAAATAACGTTTTTTGGATTACATGACGCCAAACAAGCATGCATAGATTTATACATACACAGTATGTGTAAATTTATACATAAACAGTATGTATAAATTTATGCATGCGTGTTTGGCGGCAGCTCGGACGAGCACAGACAGAGGACGCAGGCTGCTGCTCCTTTGTCTGCAGGTATTAAGAGGATCCTCATCCTGCAGGACACCGAGCTGCTCCTGGCGGCCTTCCTCATACACCCACACCACGATCATCCCCCCCCCCCCACCCTCCTGGTGACTATGTGTACACGCACGCGCGCGCACACACATCGCACTAGACAACTGGTGGCTAGGAAAAACGGGATCTAAAGAGCTAGAACTCGATCCTGCAGGCACAACAAATAGGCGAGTACATTGATGAATATGTACACGTGAACCGTCCTTGTTAATGACGATCACAGCAACACCATCTGTCTGTCACTTGTGAAAGTGCTCAATACTAACAGCCCCACAGCCACACACACACACACACACACACACACACACACACACACACACACACAGCTCCAATAGGCTATAACACACAATAAACAGTTAACCAACAGGGGCAACATAAACTCACAACATATTAAAACACATCCACAACACAGGTAACACACACACACAGGATGACACATTCACGGCCAGCAAACCCAGGCATCAAGGCGTGTCACAATCGACTTGAGAATGGTCCAGGACGGACCGAAACGTCGTCGTCCCTTCAATTTCTAGTGTGTGGTCTGGTCAACAGTGTACCCACTCACTGGGGAAACTCCGCCATGTTAAGTGGAGACCTATAATACATTTACAAAATAATTAGAACTACTGTAGTGCCAATATACAACAACGAGGAAGGAAAAAAACAGCAAATAAACTCAGATCGGTATAAAAAAAAAAGGATTGCCTTTCCTCCCCCCCCCCCCACACACCAACAAGCACACACCCCCACCAATCAACGCCCCCCCCCCACGCCAACATACGCTACCCCCCGCCCCAACAATCCATCAAGGACCGCAGGTGATGCAGGTGTGCTGCCACACCTGCTGAAGCATCAACACGGGAGGGAGGGGAGCCCATGTTGACCAAAATCGATATGGCGGATTAAAAATTTGTGGAACGCTAGGCTGGGAAAGGTTGGAGGGTAGGGAGGGGGGGGTTGTTGTGGTGGTTGTTGTTGGGGTGGTGGTTAGTTGTTAGGGGGGGTGTTGTGGTGGGGGGGTTAGTTGCTGGGGGGGGAGGGATGGTCGGCCAGGCTGGTACAACTCGTTTTAGATGTTCGAATTAGATTTTGTGAAGCTTATTTCATAACTGTACAAGATAAATGGGTATTTACAACTGGTGTGTGTGGTAACTGTGCCGGCGCAGTAGAGTGCTTGCTGGCTCTGTAAGTTTGTTTACAAGTGGGATGTGTGACGCCATCTTCCCGCTGTTGCTACCCTGTCCCACAGCCTTCCGTGTCCGTGTGTGTCTCTCTTGTATTGTATCGGCGTGGGCGAGTGTGTGTGTGTCTGGCGTGAACAAAAACAGTGATTGGGTGTATGTATTGTGTAGTGTGGGCGAACTGACGCAGCCCTGACCGTGTGGGGTGTTTCCTGTGGACCCCGCCCCCAGGTGTCGCCGCTGCCTGCATCACTGCTTCACCCACCAGTCAGTCTCGACGACTCCATGTTCACCTGAGCGTCATGTGCCACTGCCAGAGATCAGAATGGAAATTTGGCCACGGGTGTGACCTGTCCCCACGATGGACAGAGGCTGAGGGCGGAGGCTGGGTGCACACATCCCACTCACATAATGGGTGGACAGTCGAAGTAATGGAAGGTTTACTTACGTGTCCCTGAGCGGGCAGTCAGCAAAGAACACGTGTTATACACTGAAAAGACGAAATCGTGGAAGTCGCGTAGATTTGACAAAGAATTCAACCGATATGAAAGTTAAAGAAAAACCAGCTACAAGGCTAGCAGACGTGGCACAGAGAGCTGGACCTCTGATGGGCAGGTACAGGCCGGACAAAGGGACATGCTAGCCACACAGTGAACAGCTACACGATCCACACACACAACTTGGTGCACCTTGGGACCCTCAGACACAATACAAGTCCAACAGCATTTGTGTGTACCCTAAACTCTCTGAAAGGTCAAGAGAGAGAGAGAGGTTAATGCGGGTAAATTAAGGTATCCCATCTCGCAGGATGACCTGTCAAAGAGGCATGGAATATCCTAGCCAGGGCTAGCGATCTTTGTATATAGTATGAGGACATGTTCCAGAGCTCGTGGATGGATGAAGCAACACCAGCAGGGCAAAAAAGAGACCTAATGACTGGACATTCAGTGATATAATATTGGCGACTATGACCAATGTCACTTTCCCAAGAGTAGACAGGTAGAGAGAGTGGTTCCCGACAGCTGTCTGCCACAAGGTACGGTAATCACATTGGTGGAAGCTTTCCTCCTCCGCACATACAAATGTCACATCTGAATAAAAATTAAAAAACTGGTCCTTTCAGGTCCTGTGTGTATCTTGGTTCTCTCGCGTCGGAGGGTAGAGGGAATTGTCAGGAGAAAGCGTCAAGGCATTACGACTATATAGCACTTAGAAGGGATCAAGACAAGGATTTGGGATGGG